TCTCCTCACACAACCAGACCATCACCAGAGAAATCTTAACAGCAACACAGAAATCATCGATAGATACAGCGATAGCAGGAAACTCAACATCAGCGAAGCTCTACACATGAAAAAGTCAACACCAGCAATCAACAGCCAATTAATACATAACTATTTTCTACCCACTTTAAGACCCCGAACCAACATAGAAGCAGCAAGAGAAAATATGGGCCAATAGGCCTTCTGCAGTTACTTTCATTCTTATGTTTTCATACCCAATTTATACCCATTGAATTGTGTTCTGTCACCTCACCCAAAACATTTGTGTCATATCAACTCACCCAAAACGAATATAAGGATGATATGTGTAACATCCATGACCTCTGATGTTTATACAGTGTTCTCTGATTATCACGTCTTTTAAAACATGCCTCCTCTCTCTCCTGTGAACATGACCCCGGCCTCTCTCCAGATCCTGCTCCACTCTCTTAAACATTGCTCCGAGTTTTAAACCTCTTCCTCCCTCTATGTGGGAGGAAGACGTTCAAAAACTATGTGCAAAGTTTGAAGGAAAATATGGATTTAAAAGACTTGAAACTATGAGAAAATTTATGATGAGATTTGGTTAAAGACAGTAATTCCTAATTTGGAAAGATAACATGTTCTTTAACATCGAACATTTTGAATGTTTTTAGTTACATGCCATGCCATTTGAGAATGTAAGAAGCCCTTACGAAACGCTTTTAGAGTTAATTTTTCAATTACCTTCGACAGTGAAGGAAAACGTAAGAAATCTTGAGAAGATTCGTGTTAGAATTATTATTCTCGCCCTTTCGGTATATATATGTATATATATATATATATATATATATATATATATATATATATATATATATATATATATATATATATATATATATATATATATATATGTATAGAAAAACCAAAGACACTACAGGACCTCTCACCGCCCGCCGCCTGCGTGTCTGGTCAGGTAGACGGGCGCCACGTGGTCAGGTAGTTGGTCCCGCCTCTCAACTGTCAATCAACTGGTGTACAGATTCCTGAGCCTACTGGGCTCCATCACATCAACATTTCAAACTGTGTATGGAGTCAGCCTCCACCACATCACTGCCACATCTGGGTACTAAGTTTCCACCTGTGTCCCCTTGTTCGTGTTCCACCCGTGCTGAAGAGTTTGTCTTTGTCCACCCTGTCAATTCCCCTGAGAATTTTGTAGGTGGTTATCATGTCTCCCCTTACTCTTCTGTTTTCCAGGGACGTGATGTTCAGCTCCTTTAGCCTTTGCTCGTAGCTCATACCTCTCAGTTCCGGGACGAGCCTGGTGGCATACCTCTGAAACTTCTCTAACTTTGTCTTGTGTTTAACCAGGTACAGACTCCAGGCTGGAGCTGCATATTCCAGGATTGGTCTGACATAAGTGGTGGGGTGTGCGCCTTTTTAGCCAATTTATTTTTCCTGATTTTTTTTTATTTATTTTCAATTTTTTCAATTTATTCATTTTCCTGGTATTTAGTTTTCCTGGTTTCTTGGTTTTCCTGGTGTGTGTACTCACCTAATTGTGTCTGCAGTGTGTGTGTGTGTGTGTGTGTGTGTGTGTGTGTGTGTGTGTGTGTGTGTGTGTGTGTGTGTGTGTGTGTGTGTGTGTGCATATGTATGTGCGTGTGTGTGTGCATATGTATGTGCGTGTATGTGTGTGTGCGTACGTGTGCGTACGTGCGTGCGTACGTGCTCGCGCGCTGGCGCTGCACATCTCCTGGCACCCGCAGGGTCGTGAATACTTAAAGAATTCCCTCCTTGATCTCTTGTGAATGCCCAGCTCTATCCAGCGGGGCGGGATAGTGGCTGTGGTTGTTGTGGCAATAGTGGCATGGGCAGCGTTACCAGCAGTATGGGTATAGTGGGTGCTGTGGTTACACGTGTCGGTGGCAGGGGGCTGGTGGTGGCGCCACAGTAAGCCAGGGGGCAGGCACTGCAACACAACACAACACACACACACGCAACACCACACGCAACAGTTGGTGTTGGCCGCCGTCCCCCACAAGAAGTGTTCGGTAGCTTCGGAGTGTTCCGCCCCGACAAGTTCACTAATTTTAGACTCTCGTTTGATAAACAAATATGAAGTTTAGGCCCCCCCCCCCAGTACCTCCCCCCCCCCCCCCCGTGTACTAGTGGGCAGGATGTTATCAGTCGTGTGAGTGCTAAGGTTTTCCGTGAAGTGTTCCGTGTGGATTATTTGTATATAAGTGAAAAAAACAAATTCAAAATTTTAAAGTTGCTGTTATTAAAAAAAAGTGTTGGGGTGCCCCTGTTTTTTTGAGGGGTGGGGGGCCTGTTGTGGGGGGCCCCTGTTGTGGGGGGCCCGTGTTGTGGGGGGACCCAAATCCTATCTGGATTTGGATACGCGTCGCCAATATGGAACTATGTGCAAAGTTTCAAGGAAAATATTGATTTAAAAGACTTGAAACTATGAGAAAATTTATGATGAGAATTGGCTAAAGACAGTAATTCCTAATTTGGAAAGATAACATGTTCTTTAACATCGAACATTTTGAATGTTCTTAGTTACACGCCATTCACCTGGGCGCTAGAAGACTCGAACCCCGGACCCCATGACTGTGACGCCGAAGCTCTATCGACCGTTTTCTTTTGTTACATGTTTTCTCAGTGTGGTATAGCAGTGTTGGTGGTGGTGTGTGAGACTCAGTGTGGTATAGCAGTGTTGGTGGTGGTGTGTGAGACTCAGTGTGGTATAGCGGTGTTGGTGGTGGTGTGTGAGACTCAGTGTGGTATAGCGGTGTTGGTGCTGGTGTGTGAGACTCAGTGTGGTATAGCAGTGTTGGTGGTGGTGTGAGAGACTCAGTGTGGTATAGCGGTGTTGGTGGTGGTGTGAGAGACTCAGTGTGGTATAGCAGTGTTGGTGGTGGTGTGTGAGACTCAGTGTGGTATAGCAGTGTTGGTGGTGGTGTGAGAGACTCAGTGTGGTATAGCAGTGTTGGTGGTGGTGTGAGAGACTCAGTGTGGTATAGCGGTGTTGGTGGTGGTGTGTGAGACTCAGTGTGGTATAGCAGTGTTGGTGCTGGTGTGTGAGACTCAGTGTGGTATAGCAGTGTTGGTGCTGGTGTGAGAGACTCAGTGTGGTATAGCGGTGTTGGTGGTGGTGTGTGAGACTCAGTGTGGTATAGCAGTGTTGGTGCTGGTGTGTGAGACTCAGTGTGGTATAGCAGTGTTGGTGCTGGTGTGTGAGACTCAGTGTGGTATAGCGGTGTTGGTGGTGGTGTGTGAGACTCAGTGTGGTATAGCAGTGTTGGTGGTGGTGTGTGAGACTCAGTGTGGTATAGCAGTGTTGGTGCTGGTGTGTGAGACTCAGTGTGGTATAGCGGTGTTGGTGCTGGTGTGTGAGACTCAGTGTGGTATAGCGGTGTTGGTGGTGGTGTGTGAGACTCAGTGTGGTATAGCAGTGTTGGTGGTGGTGTGTGAGACTCAGTGTGGTATAGCAGTGTTGGTGCTGGTGTGTGAGACTCAGTGTGGTATAGCGGTGTTGGTGGTGGTGTGTGAGACTCAGTGTGGTATAGCAGTGTTGGTGCTGGTGTGTGAGACTCAGTGTGGTATAGCGGTGTTGGTGGTGGTGTGTGAGACTCAGTGTGGTATAGCAGTGTTGGTGGTGGTGTGTGAGACTCAGTGTGGTATAGCAGTGTTGGTGGTGGTGTGTGAGACTCAGTGTGGTATAGCAGTGTTGGTGCTGGTGTGTGAGACTCAGTGTGGTATAGCGGTGTTGGTGGTGGTGTGTGAGACTCAGTGTGGTATAGCAGTGTTGGTGGTGGTGTGTGAGACTCAGTGTGGTATAGCAGTGTTGGTGGTGGTGTGTGAGACTCAGTGTGGTATAGCAGTGTTGGTGGTGGTGTGTGAGACTCAGTGTGGTATAGCGGTGTTGGTGGTGGTGTGTGAGACTCAGTGTGGTATAGCAGTGTTGGTGGTGGTGTGTGAGACTCAGTGTGGTATAGCAGTGTTGGTGGTAGTGTGTGAGACTCAGTGTGGTATAGCAGTGTTGGTGGTGGTGTGTGAGACTCAGTGTGGTATAGCAGTGTTGGTGGTGGTGTGTGAGACTCAGTGTGGTATAGCAGTGTTGGTGGTGGTGTGTGAGACTCAGTGTGGTATAGCAGTGTTGGTGCTGGTGTGTGAGACTCAGTGTGGTATAGCAGTGTTGGTGCTGGTGTGTGAGACTCAGTGTGGTATAGCAGTGTTGGTGGTGGTGTGTGAGACTCAGTGTGGTATAGCAGTGTTGGTGGTGGTGTGTGAGACTCAGTGTGGTATAGCAGTGTTGGTGGTGGTGTGTGAGACTCAGTGTGGTATAGCGGTGTTGGTGGTGGTGTGTGAGACTCAGTGTGGTATAGCAGTGTTGGTGGTGGTGTGTGAGACTCAGTGTGGTATAGCAGTGTTGGTGGTGGTGTGTGAGACTCAGTGTGGTATAGCAGTGTTGGTGGTGGTGTGTGAGACTCAGTGTGGTATAGCGGTGTTGGTGGTGGTGTGTGAGACTCAGTGTGGTATAGCAGTGTTGGTGGTGGTGTGTGAGACTCAGTGTGGTATAGCAGTGTTGGTGGTAGTGTGTGAGACTCAGTGTGGTATAGCAGTGTTGGTGGTGGGTGTGTGAGACTCAGTGTGGTATAGCAGTGTTGGTGGTGGTGTGTGAGACTCAGTGTGGTATAGCAGTGTTGGTGGTGGTGTGTGAGACTCAGTGTGGTATAGCAGTGTTGGTGCTGGTGTGTGAGACTCAGTGTGGTATAGCAGTGTTGGTGGTGGTGTGTGAGACTCAGTGTGGTATAGCAGTGTTGGTGGTGGTGTGTGAGACTCAGTGTGGTATAGCAGTGTTGGTGCTGGTGTGTGAGACTCAGTGTGGTATAGCAGTGTTGGTGGTGGTGTGTGAGACTCAGTGTGGTATAGCGGTGTTGGTGGTGGTGTGTGAGACTCAGTGTGGTATAGCGGTGTTGGTGGTGGTGTGTGAGAGAGCGACGGTGGTGGGTCACGGAGTCTGGTGTGAAGGTGGTGTGAACAGTGAGTGGTTCCCAATGGTGAATGACATTAATGTTCATGTGAAGTGATAGTAAATGTCAATCTTACTCATAGAGAGAGACAGAGGTAGAGAGAAAGTAAGAGAGTGCGAGAGAATGTAAGAGAGAGAGAGAGAGAAAAAGAGGGTTGCACGATTTAACGTTCTCATCAGATATTTTCAAAGAAGACCATGAAGTAAAATAACACCTGCGAACAACACTAACTGAAGCGCCATAAGTCAGAAACATTGGCTGGAACACAAAGGAGCGTGAAGCACATTAGTAATAGTAATATTCTAGGAAGCCCCCTGGGGTGTGAGCACATAGTATGTACTCCGTGTTTAACAGCTCCTTCGCAAAGTGTCAACTAAAATAAATGCAGTAAATAAAACAGGGCTCTTCCCCCTTGAGAACACTTGCGGTATTACGTCTTCACCGAACACATTATGTAGAAAATAACCCCCAGAAATAATATGAGAGGAAGTGGACGAATGGTAGACGGGGCGCTGCCCGCCATCCTTGTTCATGACGACCCAAGGCCTCGAAGTCTCGGAGATCCAGAGGTCCGCCCGGTCTCACAGAACTCTCCTGGCCAATTGGACCCACAAAACCATAGAGACCCGTTGGTCCTAGGAGGGCTGTGTGAAGCGGGGAATATTCAAATTTTGCAGGACTCTGTAAAGTCTCAGAAAACAAACGATTTAGAGGACTCTCAGAAGAGAGAAGGCCTAGATCGAAAGACGCCAGATTTTCAAGAATTTGTTAACCCCCAAGTGTCCGGGAACACTCGTGATGTGGAGTGTTCACAGAGCCTGGAGACTCTTCCAAGTGACTCTAGAAATAACCAGCATGTAGACTGCAGAGAAATTCCTTGGCATCCACAGAAAGCCGGAAACCTGCACAGCTATACAGACCTCTCTCATCAAAATTACTTACTGAGTGCAATTGGAGAATCAGAGACTTCGCAGAAGGGAGTAAAAGAATCAAATGCACCAGAGGCCAATGAGGAATTAGCTGAATCAAGTGCCAAGAAGGACTTTAAACCAACAAAGAATCAGAAGGAAGAATTAACAGAAACAAATGATCCAAAGGAGGAACTAATAAAATCAGATACTCTTAAGAAGGAATTAGATGAAACAGAGACTAAAAAGGAGGCATTGAAAGAGCCGGAGACATCAAAGAAGGAAATAGAAAAACTAGAGATTTTCAAGGATAAGCTAAAAACATCAGAGGATTGGACAGAGGAGCTAGAAGAACGTGAAAATTACAAGAAGGTACTTGGGAAATCACAGATTGAGAAACCTGAAGAATCAGAGGCTTCCGACGAGAGACCTGAAAAGTCAGAGGCTTCCGATGAGGGACCTGGAAAGTCAGAGGCTTCCAAGGAGAGACCTGAAGAGCTAGAAGTTTCCAAGGAGAGACGAGAAGAGCCAGAAGCTTCTAAAGAGAGACCTGAAGAGCCAGAGGTTTCCAAGGAGAGACTTGAAGAGCCAGAAGCTTCCAAGGAGAGACCCGAAGAGCCAGAGGCTTCCAAGGAGAGATCTGAAGAGCCAGAGGCTTCCAAGGATAGACCTGAAGAGCTAGAGGTTTTCAAGGAGAGACCTGAAGAGCCAGAGGCTTCTAAAGAGAGACCTGCAGAGCCAGGGGTTTCCAAGGAGAGACCTGAAGCGCCAGAGGTTTCCAAGAAGAGACCTGAGAAGCCAGAGGCTTCCGACGAGAGACATGAAGAACCAGAGGCTTCCAATGGCAGACATAAACAACCAGAGGCGTCCAATGACAGACATAAACAACCAGAGGCTTCCAGTGAGATACATGAAGAACCAGAGGCTTCCGATAAGAGACATGAACCGGAGGCCTCCGATGACAGACACGAAGAACCAGAGGCTTCCGAGGAGAGACATGAACCGGAGGCTTCCGATGACAGACACGAAGAACCAGAGGCTTCCGAGGAGAGACATGAACCGGAGGCTTCCGATGACAGACACGAAGAACCAGAGGTTTCCGAGGAGAGACATGAACCGGAGGCTTCCAATGACAGACACGAAGAACCAGAGGCTTCCGATGAGAGACATGAACCGGAGGCTTCCGATGAAAGACATGAACCGGAGGCTTCCGATGACAGACACGAAGGACCAGATATTTCCGATGAGAGATATGAACCAGAGGCTTCCGAGGAGAGACATGAAGAACCAGAGGCTTCCAAGGATGAACCTGAGGAGCAAGGATATTCTAAGGAGGGATCTGAAAAATATGACGCTTACACTGAAGAACCTGAAATGCGTGAGGCTCTTAGTGAACAAGTTGAAGAGTCGGTGGCTGGTACGGAAAGAGGTGAAGAACGAGAAGTTTCCAAGGAAAACAACGGTAAGCCACAGGCTTTCAGAGTGGAAACTAACGAAACAAAGAACTCTGAGAAAGAATGTGAAGAACCGAAGGCTTCTGAGGAGTGTCCTGAAGAGCCAGAGGCTTCTGAAATAAGACTGGAAGAACCAGATATATTTAAAGAGAGAAATGGAACTCCATATGCTTTAAATGAGCGCCTCAAAGAGCCAGATCCAAAAGAGGAACAAGAGGAGCCAGAGGCTTTTAAGAAGGGATCTGAAAAAATAGAGGCTCCTATTGAGGAACATGAAAGGTCAGAGGCCTCGAAGGAAAGGCCTGAAGAACCAGTGGCGTCCATGAAGGAATCTGAGGAGACACAGAGTTCCAAGGCGGAACCGAGGAAACCAGAGGATTGGTTAGAGAAGCCATCTGAACAACCAGAGGCTTCCATGGAGATACCAAAGGAGTCAGAGACGTTCAAAGAGATCAATGTAGAACTAGATACTTGCAAGGAAGGAGCCAGGGAGTCAGACGCTTCTAAGGAGAGACATGACGGGTCAGAATCATTCAAGGACGGACTTGAAAACCCAGAAACTTTCAAGGAGGGCCCTGAAACACCAGAATCTTTTAAGAACGGGCCTGAAGAACCAGAAACTTTCAAGGAGGGCCCTGAAACACCAGAATCTTTTAAGAACGGGCCTGAAGAACCAGAAACTTTCAAGGAGGGCCCTGAAACACCAGAATCTTTTAAGAACGGGCCTGAAGAACCAGAAACTTTCAAGGAGGAACCTGAAACACCAGAAGCTTTTAAGGACGGACCTGAAGGGCCAAAAATGCTCAAGGAGGGACCAGAACAGCCGCCAGAAACTTTTAAGAACGGACCTGATGACCCAAAAATGTTTAAGGAGGGACTTAAAGTACCAGAAGGTCTTAAAGACGGACCTGAAGAGCCAGAAATTTCTAAGGAAGGACTTGAAGCACCAGACGCTTTCAAGGATAGACCTGATGAGTTTAAGGTAACGATGGAGGAACAAGAACAAGTAACCTCACAAGTCGACCTAAACAAGTCACAAGCACCGAAGAAAGAACAAGAACCAGAAACTTCAAGAGTAGACCCGGAGGAACTCCAGGCACGGAAGGAAGACTCAAGAACGGAAACAGGAGCTACAGTGGAGGAACCAGAGCCTAATGGAGCGAAACCAAGGGCCAAAATGGAAGAACACGAAGAACCGGAGGCCTCGAAGGAAGGACTTGGAGAATGGAAGACCGTAAAGAAGCATCACGGAGAACCGGACTCCCCGAAGGAGGAAGCCAATGCACTTCAAGAGAGAGTAAATGAGCCCATGGACCTTGCATCATGGGTGTGGCAGTGGGCGGAAGAAGACGAAGAGGAGGACCCTTGGCTGTGGACAGCGACCTACGAGACCTATGTCAGTAAGTATTGGCGGGAACTTGAGGACGTCTTTGAGGTTCTTGACGGGGGTTGTAATGAACCATTCCTCAAGTTATGACTCAGAATGATCAATGACTCAGATCTGAGTACTTGAGTGAATACATGTATTTTTGGTTTTATTATTAAGAGGTAATAGTTTATAAACATAAGACGATCCGGTTTATAAACATTTGAGAGTAGACTTAGTGGTATAAATATTATAAAGTGCTGGAGGTAGTGTGTGGAAATATTAGGATAAATTGATGGTGTTTTGTAAGTATTGGCGATACTGACTTTGATGGTCAAACACAAATAAACACTGGTAATGCTGTGTAGGAATTGGCAACACCGATGTTTATGTGTAAACATTATTATGTACGGGTGATGTGTAAACATTAGTAGACACGGGTGATGTGTAAAAATTGGTAGACACGGGTGATGTGTAAACATTATTATGTACGGGTGATGTGTAAACATTAATAGACACGGATGACGTGTAAACATTAGTAGACACGGATGATGTGTAAACATTAGTAGACACTGGCAGTGCAGTGTAAACATTGATCACACTCATGTTGATGTGTAAACATCAGTATAGACACTGCCTGTATGTCAGGAACATGCTTGTGCTTGAGCGTTGAATGCAACGTTTAACAATTGACTGAGCGATGAATGAAGCGTTTAGGCAGTAACTTGAGCGACGAATGAAGCGTTTATGCAGTAACTTGAGCGATGAATGAAGCGTTTAGGCAGTAACTTGAGCGATGAATGAAGCGTTTAGGCAGTAACTTGAGCGATGAATGAAGCGTTTATGCAGTAACTTGAGCGATGAATGAAGCGTTAATAGTTGCTTGAGCGATGAATGAAGAGTTTAAACAGTTGCTTTATCGTTAAACGGAGCGTTTAAACAGTTACTTGAGCGTTGAATGGACTGTTAAGGCAGTTGTTTGACCGTTGAATTGAGCGTTTAAGCCCTAATCTTGACCGTTTTAAGCAGTTACTTGATCGTTGAATTGAGCATTAGCGCTCATGCTCAGTGGGTGAACTACAACAGCCTCCCGGAATATGTGGTGGAGACTTCGTGTTCCTGGAGCGTGACCCTCAGGGGCCAGGGAGTGACCCCCTCTACGAGGCACTACCAGCACTTTAACCAGGCGGTACTGTTGTCACACTGTGAGACACAACCCCCCGCACCACACCAACCTCTGTGTTGAGTTCGGCCAGAACACGCGCGCGCGCGCGTGTGTGTGTGTGTGTGTGTGTGTGTGTGTGTGTGTGTGTGTGTGTGTGTGTGTGTGTGTGTGTGTGTGTGTGTGTGTGTGTATGTGTGTGTGTGTGCTCACCTATTTGTGCTTGCGGGGGTTGAGCTTTGTCTCTTTGGTCCCGCCTCTCAACTGTCAATCAACTGGTGTACAGGTTCCTGAGCCTACTGGGCTCTATCATATCTACATTTGAAACTATGTATGGAGTCAGCCTCCACCACATCACTGCCTAATGCATTCCATTTGTCAACCACTCTGACACTGAAAAAATTCTTTCTATTATCTCTGAGGCTCATTTGGGCACTCAGTTTCCGCCTGTGTCCCCTAGTGCGTGTGCCCCTTGTGTTAAATAGCCTGTCTTTATCTACCCCCCAATGGCATTCCCCCAACTGACACTCCCCCAACTGACACTCCCCCCAACTGGCACTCCCCCAACTGACACTCCCCCAACTGACACTCCCCCCAACTGGCACTCCCCCCAACTGACACTCCCCCAACTGACACTCCCCCCAACTGGCACTCCCCCAACTGACACTCCCCCAACTGACACTCCCCCCAACTGGCACTCCCCCCAACTGGCACTCCCCCAACTGACACTCCCCCAACTGACACTCCCCAACTGACACTCCCCCCAACTGGCACTCCCCCAACTGACACTCCCCCCAACTGGCACTCCCCCCAACTGACACTCCCCCCAACTGACACTCCCCTCAACTGGCACTCCCCCCAACTGGCACTCCCCCAACTGACACTCCCCCCAACTGGCACTCCCCCAACTGACACTCCCCCAACTGACACTCCCCCCAACTGACACTCCCCCAACTGACACTCCCCCCAACTGACACTCCCCCAACTGACACCCCCCAACTGACACTCCCCCAACTGACACTCCCCCAACTGACACCCCCCAACTGACACTCCCCAACTGACACTCCCCCCAACTGACACTCCCCCAACTGACACTCCCCCAACTGACACCCCCCGACTGACACTGACACCCCCCAACTGGCACTCCCCCAACTGACACTCCCCCAACTGACACTCCCCCAACTGACACTTCCCCCAACTGGCACTCCCCCCAACTGACACTCCCCCAACTGGCACTCCCCCCAACTGACACTCCCCCCAACTGGCACTCCCCCAACTGACACTCCCCCCAACTGACACTCCCCCCAACTGACACTCCCCCCAACTGACACACCCCCCAACTGACACTCCCCCCAACTGACACTCCCCCCAACTGACTCCCCCCACTGACACTCCCCCAACTGACACTCCCCCAACTGACACTCCCCCAACTGACACTCCCCCCAACTGACACTCCCCCCAACTGACACTCCCCCAACTGACACTCCCCCAACTGACACTCCCCCCAACTGACACTCCCCCAACTGACACTCCCCCCCAACTGACACTCCCCCAACTGACACTCCCCCAACTGACACTCCCCCCAACTGACACTCCCCCCAACTGACACTCCCCCCAACTGACACTCCCCCAACTGACACTGGCACCCCCCCAACTGACACTCCCCCCAACTGACACTCCCCCAACTGACACTCCCCCCAACTGACACTCCCCCAACTGACACTCCCCCAACTGACACTCCCCCCCCAACTGACACTCCCCCAACTGACACTCCCCCCAACTGACACTCCCCCCAACTGACACTCCCCCCAACTGACACTCCCCCCAACTGACACTCCCCCCAACTGACACTCCCCCCAACTGACACTCCCCCCAACTGACACTCCCCCAACTGACACTCCCCCCAACTGACACTCCCCCCAACTGACACTCCCCCCAACTGACACTCCCCCAACTGACACTCCCCCAACTGACACTCCCCCAACTGACACTCCCCCCAACTGACACTCCCCCCAACTGACACTCCCCCCAACACTCCCCCAACTGGCACTCCCCCCAACTGGCACTCCCCCCAACTGGCACTCCCCCCAACTGACACTCCCCCCAACTGACACTCCCCCCAACTGGCACTCCCCCCAACTGACACTCCCCCCAACTGACACTCCCCCCAACTGACACTCCCCCCAACTGACACTCCCCCAACTGACACTCCCCCCAACTGACACTCCCCCCAACTGGCACTCCCCCAACTGGCACTCCCCCCAACTGACACTCCCCCCAACTGACACTCCCCCAACTGACACTCCCCCCAACTGACACTCCCCCCAACTGACACTCCCCCCAACTGACACTCCCCCCAACTGACACTCCCCCAACTGGCACTCCCCCAACTGACACTCCCCCAACTGGCACTCCCCCCAACTGACACTCCCCCCAACTGACACTCCCCCAACTGACACTCCCCCCAACTGACACTCCCCCCAACTGACACTCCCCCAACTGACACTCCCCCCCCAACTGGCACTCCCCCAACTGACACTCCCCCAACTGACACTCCCCCCAACTGGCACTCCCCCAACTGACACTCCCCCCAACTGGCACTCCCCCCAACTGACACTCCCCCAACTGACACTCCCCCCAACTGACACTCCCCCCAACTGACACTGACACCCCCCAACTGACACTCCCCCAACTGACACTCCCCCCAACTGACACTCCCCCAACTGACACTCCCCCAACTGACACTCCCCCAACTGACACCCCCCAACTGACACTCCCCCCAACTGACACTCTCCCCCAACTGGCACTCCCCCCAACTGACACTCCCCCAACTGACACTCCCCCAACTGACACTCCCCCCAACTGACACTCCCCCCAACTGACACTCCCCCAACTGACACTCCCCCCAACTGACACTCCCCCAACTGACACTCCCCCCAACTGACACTCCCCCCAACTGACACTCCCCCCAACTGACACTCCCCCAACTGACACTCCCCCCAACTGACACTCCCCCCAACTGGCACTCCCCCCAACTGGCACTCCCCCAACTGACACTCCCCCAACTGACACTCCCCCAACTGACACTCCCCCCAACTGACACTCCCCCCAACTGACACTCCCCCCAACTGACACTCCCCCCAACTGGCACTCCCCCCAACTGACACTCCCCCAACTGACACTCCCCCAACTGACACTCCCCCCAACTGACACTCCCCCCAACTGACACTCCCCCAACTGACACTCCCCCCAACTGGCACTCCCCCAACTGACACTCCCCCCAACTGACACTCCCCCCAACTGACACTCCCCCCAACTGACACTCCCCCAACTGACACTCCCCCAACTGACACTCCCCCCAACTGGCACTCCCCCCAACTGGCACTCCCCCAACTGACACTCCCCCAACTGACACTCCCCCAACTGACACCCCCCAAATGGCACTCCCATAAATGGCACTCACCCCAACTGACACTCCCCCCAACTGGCACTCCCCCCAACTGGCACTCCCCCCAACTGGCACTCCCCCCAACTGACACTCCCCCCAACTGACACTCCCCCAACTGGCACTCCCCCCAACTGGCACTCCCCCCAACTGGCACTCCCCCCAACTGACACTCCCCCAACTGACACTCCCCCAACTGACACTCCCCCAACTGACACTCCCCCAACTGGCACTCCTTACCACCACATCCCATTCTTCGTAGCACTATAGAGGTGACGCTCCTCTCATATCCTGTTGGGCAAGATATTTACACATGAAACACCCACCACTGGTAGCCTGGTATAGTACCCACCACTGGTAGCCTGGTATAGTACCCACCACTGGCAGCCTGGTATAGTACCCACCACTGGTAGCCTGGTATAGTACC